TATGATAAATATACGTCTCACTGAGAAACTACATTATTTCATTATTGAAGAAAAATTAATAATTACAGGGCGCGCCCATTGATTTTGCTCCCTTCTGTTTTTTATTATTCATATCACAAGAAAAGAAGAGTAAATGTTTTTGAAATAACTTTTGACAGAAATATAATAGAGATCTGTAATTTTTATCATTCGAAAGAGGAGATAAATCTGCATCAAATCTATTCTTTTATATATTCATAATGAGCTTTGCTAATGTTGAACTACATTTTGAAAAAAAGAAGTCATGTTTTCCAGAAAACGCTACTCAACACTCTGATAAAGTTTGTCATGAATATGTGAAGGAAAGAATTCGATGCAGACTTACCTCTTATTTCAAATGGTGAAAGCCGCAGATCTGTATCTTGTTCCTGTTAAAAGTTCTTTCAAAAATACTTACTCTTATTTTATTGTGATATGAATAATAGATGTGAATATAAATTCTAATAAAAAAGTAACATTTTTCATACTGCAAACTATATTTGTTGTTCACAATAAATATATCATAGAAACGCAGCACGTTTGGGACTTTCTTCCTATATATAGAAGGTTAAAAAACACAAGCAACCTAAACATAAAAAAGAGAAGGAGGAAATGAATTGATACACATTGTAAATCAATGAAAATATTTCCACTACATCGAAGATTTTAACCATTTACAGCCGAATGTGGACATATGGCAACATTCTCCTCTATAGGGGTACTGCTTTTTTCAAATAGCCGACCGTAAAGGGTTAACTAGTTCATTAATATGTCAGATACTATAGCCTACTAATTATTACACAATTCTTAATTGAATTATCTATATAGAAATAACTTTACTTACAGAATTATCTTGTGAACAACATGCAATCAAGATGAGAAAAAATATATTTAAATGAGTATTAAACTGTCTATAGAAAGAAAACGATGACAATTACGTTTTGTTTTTTGTTGTTTAATATTAAGACGGACGAATAAAAATCAACTGTATTCTACATTGTTCGATATTGAAATAGGGGAGAGCGAGAACTGGTCGAAAGAAAATTGGACGAACGATAATTAGTCGCCGACAATTGCTCGATACGAAAATTGGTCGCTACGAAAATTAGTCGCTACGAAAATTGGACGTTACAAAAATTGGTCGATATGAAATATAGTCAAGTCGACATATTTGTAATTAAGAAAACAAAATTTTTTTTATCAAATGTATTAACTCAGTCTCTAATACAAGGATGAAATAACAATAATCATTTTGATCCAATAATGTTACACAAAACAAATTAATGACAAGAAACACACAGATAAGTACAAAAAAATTCAATATAGACAAAAAAGAACATTAACTCATAAATTATGAGCAAGCGCTTCCAATTGTTGTAAAAAAGTTGGATGCGGGTGCATAATTCGATGATGTAAACGTACACCATAGTTTAAATATTTTTTTTTTAGTTCAACGTTTTCACCAGCATTAAGTTTAATTAATTGGCAGTGAATGTAATGTTCTTCATTCTTCAAACTTTCAATAAATTTCCAAAGACTAGGATGTTGACACTGAACAATTGAACTTAAACGGCGATGCCAGGCCTCTAAGCTATTATTTGTACGCATTAAAAGATCCGTTGTTCTTTGATGCATATTCCAAAATTCAATTTCAAACATTGGCTTCGATCGACCTTGTCCTCGACGTCTTCCCATATACGTATCTTCGAAATAATTAAGTAATGGTTGTAATACTTGTGGTAATGAATCGAACAAATCATCAAAACCTTGGCTAACATCATTTGCTTTGAGAAATGCAAGAGCTGATATTTTATTGACATCATGAGCAAATGCAGGATCTTGTTCATAATTTGTCTTAAAGCCTAATTCCTGAAAGTAGAAATGAAATTTTAACGCTTCATTTGTCAATAACACCGAATTACTTACTTGAAGTTTACGTTGCACACTATTTTGTAAATGAAAGAAGCAACCAGACATTGTTGCTGGATCAGTAGTTTTAGTAAACTTATTCCCAAATTCATTCATCGCAGCTTTCTCAAAATCCATCATTATGGATTTTGGATGCCCTAATGGACAAAGTTCTTTTAGTTTATCAAGAAGACGATAATATGTTGATTGATTCTTATTTGGTAATAAAGCAAAAACAACCGGTATAACAACATTTCGATAAACAATATGCATAGCATACAACTGGTTAAAGATTGATGGTGCTACCTAAAAGATTTAATTCATTAGGAAAGACGACATAAATATGAAAATATACTCACTTTAAATGTTCCATCAACTAATAATTGTTCACAATTTTCAAGAAGTTGTAACTGTTCAAGTGTTGAAAATATGATAATACGATCATCTCCTGAACCAGAATCAAATTGCAAAAATTCATTTCTTCGTTTGGTAACTGTTAATATATCAGGAATTTGATTAAATGTCCTATCATTAGGATTTTTTGGAAAATCATTCATAACACGTCGATGTTGAATATTTCGTTTTATATGTTTAAAATTGGGAATGCGAGCTACAGCAAGATCAGATAAATCCGTTAAACAATTATCAAGAACAGTCTGTGCATTCTCGTTGCAATTCACAGCACGATCACGAACCTTTTCTTCAAATATTCGAATTTCATTTGAAATAGCATTTTCAGGATGATTATGATTGTCATTTTCATGTAATATTGTCGTCTTAATATCATTTGTGTGAATTCGACCTTTGCATTTAAGCTTTCGAGCATATTCACATTTCCAATAAATTTTATCATTATTTGTTTTATCGATAGTATAGTAAAACCCTTTAGAAAGTAATAAAGGTTTGTTCTTTTCCGTTGTGCTTAATGTAAACGTCGACATTTTAGAGAAAAAAAGAAACTGATCTGCTTCAATAATTTGATATATATATATCTTACTTTTCTTTTTCTCTCCGTCATTGTCTAATGAATTGGTCTCAACCGACAGCTTTACTTTAACACATTTTTTTCTTAATTACAGATATGTCGACTAGACTATGTTTCATATCGACCAATTTTCATAAAGTCCAATTTTTGTAGCGACTAATTTTCATAGCGACCAATTTTCGTATTTGAGCAATTGTCGACAACCAACTATCGTTCGTCCAATTTTCTTTCGACCAATTTTCGTAGACCCTTGAAATAGCAACGTATTTTAGCTGGGCTATTGTACACGAGAAAAATGTTTCTCTATTTTTATTTTTCTTCTAATATGAACCAGTTGGACGAGAAATTTCATGTTTGATGAATACGACAAAATGTTCAACAACATTTTCTGTTCTCTATCAATATCTTGTCATCTCTCTCTTATATTTTTTATGTTAAAAAAACGAGACGAAGAAAAAAGCAAGAGACCATTGAGAAAGTAGAAGGAAACCAACAAAGATCTAGAATTTTATTTGTTATTCCTTTAATATATTTATGAGATTCTTGCTCTTATCGTTCTATGAATAAATAGTCGTCATATTGTTGTAAAAAGGAAAATACAGAAATAAACATTTGAGATCAAGATCTCAAAAGTATATTAATGAATGTTCGACCAAAAACAGCATAAATAGGAGCTGTAGTAATCCATTAATCAGATCACCACAATGTCTACAACCGTTTTTTTTTCATGTAAATTTGTTATAATCGCATGATTATCAAAAAATGAGTGTATAGTGATTTGCTTTATTCGAAACAAACTACCCCATTCTTTCTTCGTTGTACATCGTGGGTGAATGCTCTTATTGAGATATATATAATTATAATCAAAGTATAGAAAACTATAGGATTTGATTCGCCTATTATTTAATATACATTGACTTTTTATTTCTTATATGATTTCTCTACATATACATAAAGTTGAAATAAAATTTGATCAAGTTCATGAATCATGATACAAACTGACAATCAATCATGGATTAATGTAAATGTTCTATCAGAATAACAATGTGTTTTCTTCTTTAACACTCTTTGGAACAATCTTGACAAATATGTCGATCTATAATTCTGAACCAGGGACGTAACGAGAAATTGTTTTTAGGGGAAGGGAAATCATCATAGGAAAAAACGTTTCTTTTGGTTGTGACAACAAATCAATTCGTATCCCTTCCATGTATTTATAATTTCTAGGAGGGGGGATAGATGATCCTCAAGTCCTCTTTCTGATTGCGTCTCCGTTGTTAACCGAGGGTTGCTCTCTCAAATGCATATAAAAAGTTATTTTTCTGTCGATTTCAGAATGAAACTCAATACAAGAAAAAAGTTATTATAGCCGCAGAAAACATCGAAAAATTTTGAAGACATCTATAAAACAAAATATTAATGTCTCTTTTCTATAACTGATTGCTCTTTGGCTCTTGCAATATATTCTCCAACTGGTATAAAAAATGTTTAAAAAGAAGTAACTGAATATGTTGTCGAGTTGATTAATGCTGAAGTATCCATGTCAAATCTGATCAGTAAGTAAGAAACAAAGCTCTCAACAACCACCTAATACTTTTACAGGCAGATTTCTTTAAAAGAAAAATTAATGATTAAAAACAACAAAAAATAAAACTGTGCTTGATTGTCACTGTTTTCTCGTTTTCAATATGTTATTATAAGCAATTTTTAATATTTATCCATCATATATGAAATAAAATAAATTTATTTGAAACAAGCTACTATTCTAAATATAAAATAGAAGAATTATTAAAAAATGTTTTTCTTATGAGTAACAGTTTACTGTTTTGTGCATGATAAATATCCAAAAATTACATTTATTATTGACTTTATCTTTGACAGAAGAGAGATCAAAAGAATGTTAAATAAATTACATGTGTCCTATCTATGCCGAGATATTTCTTACTCTTTCCAATCGTATCATCTAAGAAAGCATTAATTAAATTAAATTAAATTAAATTTGTAGCATTAAGTTGCGTGCAGATATCATTTCATTTTCAAAGCTACAAACGTTACGATATGAGTCAAACCGGTTTGACAATCGGCTGACCTTGTCATCTTGAAATATGTTGTAGTTCTTATCGTTGTTTAAACCTGAAATAAAATGGTAAAAAATATCTTCAAATGACTATCTACTATTTTAGATAATATTTTTACTATACGTNGTTGTCCTTTCTTGTTGCATAGTCTGCGATTGTCAAATGAGGTTTGTTTGCTATTAAAGATTTCTTGTGTTGACTATATGCATCACGAGCATCAGGATGAGCACGAAGGTATTCACGAAATGCAATCAGATTGTCTCTTTTCCAGTGGGTAAATGCATAATCCATAACAATATGAATTATGAATCCTTTCTAAAAAAAAAATATATTTTATTAATAGAGCGAACAGTAAATATGGCTTTCTCTCGGAATAAGCTACTTTTATCAAAATGTCGTGGGAATGACTAAGGTAATGTGCTCCGTGTTTATGCTTGTATCCCGTGCTCAGCAAAGTTTCGAACACTTGATGACTTCGACCACCATCTCTCATTGGTCCTTGAATAATGAGCATATCAATGATAGGCTTGGCATACATTCCTTCTACACTTGTACTTCCTATGTGTTCCATTTCTAACATTAATAACTGATCATGTTCACAGCAATTATCGTTGATCGGAAGACGGCTCTGAAATAGAACAAGACCGTGTACATTTATGGTCAACTTATTGATGAGCTAAAATTTTTCGTTGCTTACAACAATATTTTCATATTCCTTTTTATATAAATTCGACCACTCTGGATCATATTTCTTTAATTCAACTTCTTCAGATTCATAATTTCGCCATGCTAATGAAGTTCCCATTTCTTCTTCTTTGATTGTAAAATAGTAATTCACATGATCACCTGGATAATGTGGAGACTTTAACATCGCATCTGGTAATTGATCTTCTTTCAAGGAACGTAGAAAGCGCTTAAGTTCTTCTGAATCAAGTTTTTCGAGTTCAAATTTGTCGATGTAAAATCCATTTTCGAAGACCGAAATCTTGTGTTCTTCATGCTCAACTCCTGTATTTTTCTTACTTTTGATTACCCACCAGTTTGTTCCAAATGACATTTATTCTATTTGATCGATATCAAACAGATATTATGATTTGATTTATTGCGAAGTTTTATCTTCAAAAGTAATTAAAACAGTATTATTATGAATCTCAATATAAGTGTAGAGCATTAGTGAAATTCATACGCATCAGACTGATATTTAAATATAGCAGTATAAGTGTCAATAGTGAGATGATGGCAAGCCATTCTCAAAAATTTAGAAAACTGTTGATTGAAGATCCTACCTAATTGCAAAGGAAACCTAAAGTCTTCCTATTGTTTGTGCTTTTCATCGTTAATCGATTCAGTTTTAGAATTCACGTTTGATTAGAGCACAGGAACATTTTAAACTTCGAACCATAAATCAATGTCGATCAAGATTCCAAATTCAATGTAACTTCCATGATGCTAATATTTCAGAATAATTTAACGATATCTGATTGGTTTTGAAACTTTAAAAACGCATAATTCTAGAAAAAATCTTAAAAATAAACGAAACAGGGAAGTTTCACACTTCTTTTCACTTGACATGACTCCTGTATCCGCTCTTCTTTTATCCGCACAGACGTCAATACAGCAGCAGAAGAATAATAATACCTTTGTCTTTCAACTACCTTGCAGTTTCGTGTACCGTCTGAGGACAGTTTCTATAAGCGCAATGTTTTCTTGCATCTATTGCTAGATATAGATCTGGTCAGAAGTCCGATCTGAGGTAAAGTCATTTGCACTTAATTTAACTATTACCAAATGTACTGATTATTTATGTGAGATTAATATAGATCTTTTCACGCTTTCATAGTTCAAAACGATGATATCAGTTAACTCAATAAAGTCGAAACCATGTATTTTCACTACAGATGTACATATGCGACAAACTATGTTATTCAATGCCTTAAAAAAATGCTTGCAACTCTTTAAAAGAACGGTCAAATTAAATGAAAATTTCATGTGAGACAAAGCAAGACCAACATCACATATGTTCAGATAGTTCTTTCAGTAGAATAGGTTATATACAGAACCATAAGTTCTCTACACTGCTCTATAGGATGATAAAAATATCAGCTCTATATCTATCAATTTTCTAAAAAGTTACACAAATACTGGAGGTTTACATTTGAAAAAAAATATCCGAAAGTAGAACATAATCTTTTCTCTATTATTCGTTTCTATTCGATGAGATACGTTAACAGTAAAAATGTCAACAAGAAAACAGTTTTAGATAAAATATGAAAACAACAAAAAGAAATCGATAATGTCTACTTTAAATTGTTTTCAGTTACTAATCCCCAATTTATTTAGGATGTTTTTTAGAACTCACGATTTTCATTTGTGTTTTACCCCGAACCGTGTCTATTTCTGGAGGTTTTCAGCTGAAAACTTTCAAACTGATGAGCTCTGCTCTATATTTAAACTTCGAAAATTGTGAAAATCCTTTCTCACATTTTCAAAATCGCTTCGGTTCTCTCAGAGGATCTTTTGAGTTACAAAAACTTAGCAGTGTAGCCGCCGTGGAACCAAATTGTAGTACTCATGAGACTCAAACTGCTACTAATTTATATTACATTCTCGAAAATGGGTGGAAAAGTTTATTTTCAAAAGATATCAAATAATTCTATCGTTTGAGTTAAAATATACGCCGTAAAAGTTGATCACAAAGAAACTATTTCATTTCGAATTAGTACCTTTCCCTTCACTCCGTTTATCAGATTTCTTGAATATATTTATAATATTAATGTAACCGATGCAGAATGTAAAATTTCTAAAAAAAACATTCATCAAAATGATTAATTTATAGCAGTTTCTATTCATACATTTCAAACATTTTTTTTCTTATTGTCATTCGCTGTACTATTATTCTGTTAATCGAGATTATTATTATTTCCTATTACTCAATTCAAGCTTTAATTTAATGATTAAATAAGCTTAGTATAGAGATTGGTTGTATCTTCTCTCGATCCTAACAATCTTGTATGCACACTAATGTACTGAATAAGACACGAAATAAATATTTCTAAAAGGTAGAAAGTAATTTGATCACGCTTTCATGTAACTCATACTACAATTATAAAAAATCAATAAAGATTATCTTGAGTGTGGGTGTTAATCTTCTTTTAATCATGACACCCACACCCACACCCAAATCTCTCCGTCTACATTCTCATCAATCCTCTATAACAATGATAATAATGCAAAAATAAATTATACTACTGTAGTGCATATATTTGCACATGTACTTTACTTGCTCTGTATCTCGTTCGACATCGAATTAGTTNCAAATGGCGCTCCCACCAGATTTTCAAACTATCTCGACAATGACTTATCTGACCAACTTGAAATTTTCATAGTAGACAGACCTCGACTAGTAGATGAAATTTTGTTCCAAGTGAGCAATTCTCAAAATTCATCTTCAGCGTCAAATAGAGGTCAAAAGTTGAGAAGGTGGTGTTGCATTTCTTTCCAACTTTAAAAATCGAGAAGACATCGTATCGAGCTAAATCTTCGGCTACAGGATCTTGATTCAAAACGAGATTCATAGCTTCTTTCACGCTTCTCCAAACACACCTTTTAGGCTAGAACACAATCCATGTACATAGGAAAAATGATCCTAAGTTATTTGAGTGTATCGATGAAGCTATAGTGTTTACTGCTTTTTTGGCTGACGGGGAAAAGAGCTAACTATTGATTATTATATTTGTGTACTCTTGTGTATGTATAATCTATTTATAAAAAAACTTTCAATATTCATCATGTTCAGTAGAGTAACTTTATCAAATACTAACGGCAATTATTTTTGCACTCCACTGTATATGACCATAAGTATCTAATTCATATATAAATTCGTCAATTAATTGTGGTTGAATATTTGAAGGAAAATAACGAAGTGCATTTTTAATTGCTAACTAAAATTGAATAATTTTTTAAAGAAAGAAATTTAGAAAAACAGGTTGATGAATAACCTTTCTTTTCTTAGTTGTTAATGAAGGTTTTCTATCAGTTGTTTTGGTGGTGATAAAGGATTCAATGGTAATCCTGAACAGATTTTATTAAGAATTTCATTCGACATCCGAAAAGAGCAAGAAAATAATGTTTATTGTAAACTGTATATTTAATTTGTGTTTTATTTTCATCTGACTCAAAAAAGTATAAAATATTTCATAATATACTTTTCAATAACAATTTCTACTTATACCCCTGACATAATCTTTTAATTCGTTTTCAGGAAATCTCAATTGTATGGAGGTTAACTTGTGACTTCATCCTCATATCTGAATTCACACCTAAAAAATGTAAATACAATAATGTAATAATCAATCATTTGATTGGTTTGAATTATTAAAACAAAAATCAAATAGAAGACGTATTCAGGTTTAAAAATATGTATCTATGATAAAGAGTGAATCATAATTTGCTAGGCACACATTCCAATACTGCTGTCGAGGACAATGAATCTAACAAGTGATGAGAATGACTCACCCCATCGTTCCTGAAGCTGAATTGATCGACGCATTTATTCAAGTCATTTTTGTAAACTGGATCAATTAAAAAGACAATTTCACAGCAATATTAGGCATAGTTTACAACATCATCATATCATATTTTCTCTACTTTGTTAATGTCATCAAATTAGGATTATCTTTATCATAAATAACCAAACTAGAAAACAAAGCCAAAACAACGAATGTGGCTGATACAGACGTCTTAAGTGTACTAACAAATGTAGATATGCGATGATCTCGTTTAAAATTTGAAGTTTTCTCAAGATTTACATAGTTTTCATGTTATAACCTTCTCCCTCGATCACAAATAAGTAGCGCAGAGCGTCATCTATCAATTGTTCTAAAAATGATCAGCATAGTATTAAATAAAAATTATTATTCATACTACGCTGATCCTGAATATACATAAATCTTAATGTATGGCCCAGTTCTAAAAACTTATTTACATAGAGCATTTAGAAATAACTAGTAAAAGATAAGTGCATTGGTTTTATCATAAGCCAGTAGTTCCAATGATTCAATTACATCAGTCGTACGAACAGAACGAAACGAACGGTTATCACTTCACTTCAGATAGAAATTATAAACCAATCAAATTATGAATCCTTATTTAACCATATTCCAATCATTTTTCTTTTTGACGAACAAATGCAACTACAAGGAGTCTTTTTAATACAAAGTAGGGAGTTACCCCACCCCAATTATGACAAATTTTCGTTTCTCTCCTTCGGAATTCTCAAAAATTCGCTCGCCCCGTCGTCCGAATTCGACCAGTTTTAGCAAAAAACTTCCGATCGGTGTTTTGAGTAATGTTTCCTCCTGCGAATTTTGGCGACCTCGGAACACCCATGATATTAAGTACCTGAAATGAAAGTAAAGAACTCGATATATTGATGATTTGGAAAAAATACTGCGTTTTTCACTTTACTGAAAAAAAAACAAAGTACAATAAGCAGTTTACTTTTTTTGCTGCAGCTTTATTGAAAAATGACTTGTCTTACTATTGTTTTTATACTTTAATTCTAGATGAAGCTGGAAAGGTTTTTTTTTCTTGTTTTGAATTTTCAGCCTTGTTTGTTTTACAAACGTTCTTCATTACTACTTTTCTGACGTATTAAATTGAGAATTTCAATTGATCAACTATATGTACTTACGAGAAATACATTAACATGTACGAACAAGAGCAATAATAATTACTTTCATTTTTTTTTTCATTTCTTATATGTACATGATAGAAAAAATTAATTCAGAGAAGTAGTTCTTAAAACTAGTAAGATAAATGTGTCATATTTTTGCCATTATTTATGCCATTTTCCCATGTTGTTTGTTACGGCACTTCAAGATACTTTGCTATTTAGAAGAAGATACCAACAGATACTTCGTCAATAGAAACAAAGTACGCATTTGTACGCTGTTTCAAATTTCTATTGGATACTTTGAGTGCAAGCAGTGTTTATAATAGTAGGTATAGAGAGCATCATCTTGTTCTGACAGGGTATACGTAGTATGCTTCGCGGAA